TAGTGTTCCTTTAAAGTTTTGTTGCAAATCCACATTAATATATTTATATACAAATATAGAATCATTATATGTTGCATATTTTAGCATTATTATTTGTTACACATTAGTTTTATTCATACAATGCCAAAACAGGCTTCACTGGTTTATTGTGGGTACATATCTATATTTTTTACATTTTCCCAAAACTCTGTTTTCAACCATCTCTAAATATGTGTTACTATTGGATGTGTATCTTAAGATTGCTCTGCACCCTCTTGTTTTAAAATATTGCTCCATTTTTCTTTCTAAAATCTTCAACTATACAGACCTTAAATTCTGAGGAATAGCCACCTAATTGGCAAAAACAAATTTTATTGGTGACAGTTGGCCTGTGATTGGATACACAATCGAAGGGGAATGTTTGTGCCTCCCAAAGGACAGCACATATTGCAGACCTAGATCGTGTTAAATAATTATTTTTCTAGGGTTGAAGCAAGGGAAGAGTCAATGGGAAGGTGGGCAGACGGGAAAGGGTAAAGCTGTACTGCTTAGGTGGTGTTGATTATTAATTGGAAAGAATATAGTCAGGGCAGAGATGACAACAATGTGAACAAAAATGTGAAAAGGAATCTTAACTTCAAAATATCCCAAATATATTGTTATACTACCTCATAGGTCCAAATAAATATACAAAAGAAAAAACTATATATAGTGTAATATAGTAATAACAAAATATATATGGGAAAAGAGTAGGTAGAGAACTCACAAACTGGATATTGTCATCAGGCTCATCACCCCCGAGGGGTAGAATGTAGAACAAATCTTAGTTTGCAGAGAGATCTTCGATATAGGAAGGAAAAACAGAAGAACAGTCAAACTAGTGTGACAAAGTTTGAAACCAATAAATTGTAATAAAGTAATAGACTTACAAACACAAGCATGAGTTAGGCATATCTCCACTGAAAGAGAAATATAAGGAGACAGCAGATCACCCACTTGGAGATGGAAAAGTCAAGAGGAACAGCAACAAAACTCCCAAAAGCAAAGGCAGGTAAAAACCAGATACACTATATATCATAATATCTAAAAAATATATTTGAAAAAGTTATAAGTAACATCCAACGCGTTTCATCCAGAACTAGACTTCTTCAGGGTTTCCTCCATATATTGAAGATCTCTCTGCAAGCAAAGATTTGTTCTACATTCTACCACTTAGGGGGATGAGCATATTGCCAATATTTAGCTTGTGAGTTATCTACCTACACCCTCCCCATATATATTTTGCTATTAGTATATTACACTATGTATAGTTTTTTTTCCTTTATAGATTTATTTGGACCTAAATGAGGTTGTATTTTTTTGTCACATTCCTTCCAGTGTATTTCACTATATTGTTAATTTTGTTGGTTTGTGTTTTTTTTTTTTTTTTGTGTGTGTGAGGTATCACTCGATGTAAAACACTTATTTTCTCTTTTCATTTTAATGATTTTTTTAGTTTTTGTATACAGGACAGGGATAATGTTTCGGTGCAGGTAATATTGTTTTCAGATTAGATAGGGAAATATGATTGTTGTCTAACTAGGTAAGGGTTTATGTGCAGATAGACAATCAGTGCTGGCCAAGTGTTATTAACTGATGCTAGAAAAGGGCTAAGCCAGGGAATAGTTCATGTTTGTGTGGAGCAGTCAACAAAGGGCTGATGATTGGCAGGTGCAGTCAGGAAAGGGTTAATGTACTACTGGACAAGTAAGGTTGCCTGTGTGATATTAATTGGTCATTAGAAGGGACGGGATCAGGAGGGTCTTCGTGTTTGGGCAGAGCCACCAGGAAGTAGGTAATGATTGGGTGGAGCTTCCAACAAAGGGTTAAAGGCCAAGAGAGGGTTAATGATTGGGTAAGGTGGCCAGGAAACAGTTAATGATTGGGTGGGGCAGACAGGAAAGGGTTAATGATTGGGTGGGGCAGACAGGAAAGGGTTAAGGAGTTGCTTGCCCAGGTGTTAATGATTTCAGATTGGAAGGGGGTGGAGACCAGATCTTTAAATTAAATGCACCCTGGGGTGGGTGGGTATGCGGTGTTGAGGAGGAGGACGTTTTCCCTCTTTTCATCATTTTTATCTGTGTGTTTCAGGAGAGAGGTTTCCCCTAGTGTGTTTCAGGTAAGAAAATTTCCTTTATATTTTTATAGTAGATACATGGTCTGACAGTAGTAATTTAACCATTTGTGTGCCAAAAGGGGAGATACTAGGTTATTAACCATTTGTGTGCCAGAGACATGACATATTAACCGTTTGTGTGCCAAAAGGGAGATAAGTTTAACTGTTTTGTGTGCCAGAGACATGACATTAACAGTTTGTGTGCCAGAGGGTAAGAAAAATACTAGATTAACCGTTTGTGTGCTACAGCCATTAATTATAACCGTTTGTGTGCTGGAAGGGAACAAAAATACTAGATTAACCGTTTGTGTGCTACAGCCATTAATTATAACCGTTTGTGTGCTGGAAGGGAACAAAAATACTAGATTAACCGTTTGTGTGCTACAGCCATTAATTATAACCGTTTGTGTGCTGGAAGGGAACAAAAATACTAGATTAACCGTTTGTGTGCCACAGCCATTAAATATAACCACTTGTGTGCCACTAGGTTATTAACCGTTTGTAAACTAGAGAGGTTCAATTTTAACTGTTTTTGCACTGGATGTGTGTTAGAATAACTGTGCCACACCAGAACAATGTTAAATATGTGTGCCAGAGAGATATTAACTGTGTGCTTGACTGTATGTGTGCTGGGAATCTATAGTAACCATTTGTGTGCCAAAAAAAATACAATGTTACATTCTGTGTGCTTGAATAGAAGACACGTGTGTCTGCTATGTTAAAGGGACACTACAGTCACCAGAACAACTACAGCTTATTGAATTTGTTCTGGTGAGTAGAATCATGACCTTCAGGCTTTTTGCTGTAAACATGGTCTTTTCAGAGAAAATGCAGTGTTTACATTACAGCCTAGTGATAACTTCACTGGCCACTCCTCAGCTGTTAGAGATCCTTCCTGGGTCATGGCTGCCCAAAATGCATCCAAACATTCAGCGTCTCCTCCCTCTGCATGCAGACACTGAACTTTCCTCATAGAGATTCATTGATTCAATTCATCTCTGAGGAGATGCTGATTGGCCAGGGCTGTGTTTGAATCATGCTGGCTCTGCCCCTGATCTGCCTCTTTGTCAGTCTCCGCCAATCCTATGGGCAAGCATTGTGATTGGATCAGGCTACCACTTCTGCTGATGTCAACAGGTAGGTCTAAAGGAAACAGGCACAAAGCACACAGCTGCAGACTTGAATACAAGTATGATTTACTATATTTAGAGAGGCAAGAGGGGATCAGGGTTGCTAGATAGGTGTTTTAACCTTTATAGAGTAAGGAATACATGTTTGTATTCCTGACCCTATAGTGCCCCTTTAACTAAGCTGGACGGGTGTTACAGTAACTCATAGTTATTTACTAAAGTGAGAATTTAAAGTGTATTGCAAATTTAAGGTCAAAATAACTAAACTTGAAAAACTATTTAAATTGGGTATGCTTTCAATTTGGCAACTTTGGCCTACATTTGGAATTCACTTTGATTTTTCACTACATAAACCTGTGTGTGTCCATGCTGGGAGGGAATTCTTTCCAAGAACACCATTTTTTCATCAAAACCAACTGATTTCAGTTTTACTAGTAACCTCTTGTGTGGAGCCGGTTAAAAAGACAAAAGCAAAATTCAAGTAGATTATTTCTACTGAATCACTCTGATCAATATTTCTAACTTTTACATAGGCATGTTGATTACTGCTAATGGTGTTTTTGTTCAAAATTAATTCTTGAATTTTCTCTCTTAGCCCTTAAAATAATTTTCCAACTGCAGATGTTGAGCTCAATGGTCTGTAGTCACCGGGTTGGACGTTTTAACACTTTGTTGATCTAAATACCACATCTGGTTTTTGTTTTTTTTACAGTTCTCTGGTACAACTCCTGACAGAAGAGAATCCTGAACAATTAAACATTGGTATAGATATTTCTACAGTAAGCACGTGTGTGTGAATACCATGTGGCCCTTAGCCTTCTGTTTAAATTAACTATTTAATTCCTGATACACATTATCCTGTGTTCAATCACCTGTTTGCTGTAAGGCTTTTGTAATAGTGACTTGCAAATCCACAGATATATATTATTCCCTATAAAAAATTAGTATTTAGAATTTCTGCCTTGTCCTGATTGTCCCATGTCATGTTCCAATGGCATTAACGCACTTTACCTTTGTAGGGTTGACCTTGCTCTCTTTGGCCCTGTGCTTTTCATTTTAAAGTTTAGCCCATTTTTTACAAACCTTCTTGGCATGTTTATTCTAGGATGCAATCAACCACTCATTTAAATGCCCTTCTCTTTTTTATTATTTGACTTCTCCTTTTACTAAGCCAAATTAAGTTTATTTTGCTTATTATTTATATATAATATAATTTTTTTTTTTTTTTTTGGTACAGAGTATACATTTGTCCTTATATTAGACCTTCCATTTATCCTTTGGGCTTTTCCCAGTGAATATTTCCTGACAATTCATTTAATCAGTTGTAAAGATGCCCTTATCCAATGTATTTTAGCCTTTTTTTTTAATTTTATTTTTATATATGTCATCTTTATTTTGTGGTGTTTAAATTGTATAGCTTATTTTTTTTCTCACACTAGCATTTATTACATCATCTAACATGGATAGTCTCTCACAACATATATTTTTATACGTTTTTAAATAATAATAATCCTGAAACTGCCAGATATTGTATGCATTTAATAAAAGCAGCATTGGGCACCCCTAGCATACATCAGGAATGTGTATAAAATAGGAATATTGCTACTTTTAAATGTCTGGTGTTTCTTAGCCTCCCTATGAATGTACAACGTTCTAGACAGATTTTAAAAATATTTTGTGAAACTGGTCTTGCATGTCTGTCATTAAATGCATTGTGTTTTTTTATTGAAGCATATCAAAGTTTACAGTGAACATAGCTTACAAGGCTACTTTTTTAGTTCAACATGATTAGAACCTATGACAGTTAAAGCTTTTGTCTGAAATAATTATGCAGTATAGTTAACATCACAGACTGTCAGCAAGGTGTGTTGCATGTTATACAGAAAAGTGCAAATAAATTGTACTGTTTCAAATGCTAAGGTGTGGTGGGGCATTGAGAAATCCTGGATTAACAGTGTCAAAGGAGTAGTCAAATCATAGCAAAAAATTTTTAATTTTTTTCATTAGCAAACTAACTCAAGTTCCTGGTGCAACTGTAGTATCGCCGGCCATAACCAAGAGACACAGTGAACTTTCAAATTAGGAGGATCTAGTCTCTGTGACTTGCTCAGGTGATCTGTAGGGTTGGTTTCGATAAGCCAGAGGTCCGGTTCTGTTTGGGGTAGAAAGGCTAGATCCTGACACACACCTCTTGACATGCGAGGTGTGTGTCAGGGTTCTTACCCGAGACGGGAGTCTGTAGTGCAGATCTGTTTGCTCACCCTTGCAGCTAGACACAGTCCAAGGTAATCAGATAAGCCACATGGACTGTGAATCTGTGCACTGGGGCTGTGCAGGAAAGGTGATTCCAATGCAGTCCCGACAAGGACACAAACAGCAGGATAGTCAAGGAATAGCCAAAGCCAAAGGATGCCAGAGGTCAGGATAATGAAGTGTAGCCGAAGTCAAGGGATGCCAGAGATCAGGATAAACTAAATCAGAAGTCGGGGTCAATATGGAGTTTAAGTTTGATACTGGAACACAGGAACTGAACACATACAACAGGATCCAAGACCAAAATATAAAGGCATATCTCCCTTTTTTTTAATCCTTTTAAAAAAAAAAAAAAAGTGTATATCAATTCAAATGATTAGCCCAATCACGTGTTAATCCCATCAATTGTCCAACTGTCATAATGTTCCTTGTATGCCAATATCTCAAGCTCTCTCATTTCCCTACACAAGATTCTAGCATTAGCAGACATTTATCATATAATTTTATTTTTTTTCTCACCTTTTAAGAGCAACGATTGGTTGTGATAAATGGTATAATATAGTGTTTTATTATTCGTGTTTTTTTTTATATATATTCTACTAATATATGGTATACAGTGGAACTTCTTGCTACCAGTACTAAAAGCTTTTGTAGTTATTTGTGGATTCTACACTTTTTTTTTTTTTTTTTTATCATTTCCATCCTTAGTTGTGTGCTCAAACTATTTTAAGTGTATATCATGCTATGTTTTTATGTTTCATGCTATGTATTTTAGTATGTAATAATGTCTCAATATTTTAAATATTTCAGGTCAAGGAGCAAGTAGTCATAAAAATTGTCATTGATACAAAGAAATAATGACTCTGTAACTACGTCTTGTAAAATGTATTTTTCCATTAATGAATTAAATTTCCTCTCAACCACTATCAGCACTTGCACTGCCGTTGGATGGCACAGTTCATTGATGACCAAATCTGTGACAAATCACCCAAGGAATTAATCCTGTATAGTTCAGTGCTAAAACATTCAGTGCATGTACTACTTTTTCCCCATGAAGATAAAATGGCAAGTGACTGAAATTATTCATGGGTGGACTCGTTGGCTGAGATAGAAGTCTGACAAGGATGTCATTTTCAATGTGCACCATAAATGAAAGCGTAGAGATGGCATGCGAGATATCTTCAAATTCATGAAAGTGTCACAAAGCACCAAAGATCATGCAACTATAGTTGCACTGGTTTTATCTCTGCTGTTTAGTAGTAAAGCCACACCTCTCTTGGTTGAGACTCACACAACCTCCCTTGATTTCTCTGCTCCATGCAGCCATCACATTAAAAAGTTAGAATTGGCTTGGGCATCTGTGACACTTCCTGAAAAGAAGTCTACATTTTTGCATGGTGTGTTTTATTTCAAGTTTCCTATCTCCTCATCTGCCAGTAGCCAGTTAGAGCCTTGAATTTCCTCGTGTGTGATTAGTAGTTTCAATCATTTGCTCTGTCAAACTTTAAAGTAAACACACTGTGCTGTAACATCTGAAAATTAAACCATTTTTTTCATGGAAGTTGTGTGGGTCACAGAAAGGGGAAGTGTGACTATAACTGCACAAACAGAAACAAATGTGATTTTATCTGAGCAATGAGGCTGCAAGAAAATAATCTACACACAAACAGATTTATTAAACTAAAGTTGTCTTGGTTCATAGACTGTGCTTTTGACAAAGTCACACATGTAACTATTACAATAGTAATAAGAAAAAACACATTGGATTATGATAAAGGCCTTTTTTCTTTTTTTTTTTCTTTGGTAATGGGAAATAGAATAGTAATTATTGGACCAATTCACTATATAATGTAAGATAAGCACTGGTAGAAAAAAGGAATATTAAAAATAAAGAATAAATAGCACAGGTAGTTTGAGCAAGAAATATAATAAATAGAAAAAGGGAAAAATGGGGGAAATTAATGCACTTTGCAAAATAGACTAGCACATTGGGGGAAAGAGAAGATATAGATATATATATATATATATATATATATATATATATTTTATTTTCATACACAATGATAAAATGAATGAACACAAAAATTTTAAGGCTAATATATGGCAATAGTGGATGCTAGATAATCCAAATATAAGAAGTGTGTTATTTAGTCACCTGGTAAACTTATAGTTAAGTATTTGTTTAAGTTGTAACATCTAATGTGATGCTCCTCTTTAGGCTGTAGGCTGGATAGAAAGTAGCCCAAATGCATATAATTATAGATATTGGAAGGAATCTTATGTATAGACACCCCTTGTCTAGATCAACCATTTAAAGGGACACTCCAGGCACCCAGACCACTTCTGCCTATTAGAGTGGTCTGGGTGCCAACTCCCACTACCCTTAACCCTGAAAGTGTAATTATTGCAGATTTTTTATAAACCAATAATTACCTGGCAGGGTTAACTCCACCTCTAGTGGCTGTCTACTACTAGAGGGCACTGTGGGGATATTTATGGGGTATAAAATATTTTCATAAAAATTATCAAATTTATTTTTTATTATATCAAAATTGATATCTTGAGAATTACCCACTATTTAATTATCTTAGATTCTAGAGAACACCATCATTTTAGAAGATTTTTACTCTATACAAATAAATCACAATTTGATTTTAAAAATATAATTTATTGTGACATAATAAAATAATATGTAACATGAATGATGATAATCAGTGAATACTTAGTATAACATAGGTATACTAAATATGGCAATGGTTTAAACAAGTTAAGCATCTACAATATCAACTGTCAAGACTTACAAAATGTATGAGGGTCCTTCACACAGAACACAGAAAGCAAAACTTCACACAGAACACAGAATTCCTCAGAGCGCAGCTAGAAGTCGTAAAATCCTGGATATCAGCTCATTAATAATTTCCTGGAACCATCCTGTAACGGATCGACGGGCACCCCCGACTGTGTACCTCCGTTGACTGATGCTCCTAGCATTTCCTGAGGGCTCCAAGCACTCCAGCTGACACCATAACCACCGTAGACTCCTTCAAAGAGCAAAACTAGGAACAAGCTCTTACAAGAGCTTAGTAGTGATATAGCAAGGGAGTTTGACTAGCATAGCAATCCCTTGTAGCAGATTGCCCCACTAAGAGACAGAACTCCAAATTGAGAGTGAAGTAGAACTGAAGCTTTTAATCAAACACTCTGCTTTTATGCACATATTGCACACATAGTACTGCCCACAGGGTTTTGCAAAACAACCACTCAATACATACAATATTTAAAAAGTTAGCTGAGAGTCCTTTATGACCGACCGCAAGCACATTTTCATGCCCAAAACAGTTCCATGGATTTGGGCTGTGCGGTCGGTCTATTTGACACTGAGAAAATGACTAAGTCCCATTCGAACAAGCATGTTAGAATCATTGCCTTGTTTGTATAACGCATTCTTTAGCTCATGCTTAATGACTGGAGTTAGACTGAAATTGTATCTCTTTCTTAGCCTCAAAAAATGGAGTCAGCTTTGTTTTAAGTGTGACTGGCAGTAGACACTTTTAATTTCTATTTTAGCACAAAATGTCTGTTGATATAAATATTCTGAGAGCACTTCCTGGATTATAGCACAGAAAACCTGTGCTAGAGCATCACTGGACATCCTCACGCTGTGTGAGGACCTCCAACGTCACTCAATTCCCCATAGGAAAGCATTGAAATCCAGTATTAATGCGCATTAGGTCTCCCCTGCCGGCGGGCAGGATCAGTCCCGGTGTTCCGTCAGATTACTATACCTTGTCAGAATGGTATACCGGAAGTGACGCGGCCGCACCGGAAGTGACGCGGCCGCACCGGACATGACGTTTCGGAGCTGGAGAAGGAGGAGCACCGCGCCGCGCAGGCGCAGAAGAACAGGTAGGAGAAAATTTCTACCACGCTAGAGAGAGGAGCCCACCTACTGCGCATGCGCGAACCCCACATTGCGCCTGCGCTTGGAGCCACAAAGGGGGGGAGGTAGGGGCGCTAACGGGCCAGTGCGCACGCGCGCCTAAGTACTCCCGTCGGGCACAGACAGCGGGATACACCGCGCGTGCGCACCAGCGGGCAGGGAGATCGATTCAGCCGAACATTCATCCGATCTCCCTGCCCCACACTGCGCACGCGCCTACCTAGCCAGGACGCGCATGCGCACTGAGGGGGTATAGAAATCTGATGGCCATATCTTCTGCTAAGAAATCTCCTACCCCTCAGTGCGCATGCGCGGTGTCTGCACTGGATCCTGACATCCATCAGTAAGCTCCCAACACTCTCAGCCATCAGGGGGGACTGTACAGTATGGGGGGGGTCTGTACAGTATGGGGGGGTCTGGATAGTATGGGGGGTCTGGGCAGTATGGGGGGTCTGTACAGTATGGGGGGTCTGGACAGTATGGGGGTCTGTACAGTATGAGGGGGGTCTGTACAGTATGGGGGGGTCTGTGCATTATTGGGGGGGCTGCACAGTAT